ACCTCACCCTGGACACCTGCAAACACAAAGACGTCCTGGTCAGGAAACTCTCACCCGTCCACTGTTTCTCTCACTCATGTCCATTCACACTCTCAGTGTCTCTTGTCCCCCATAAATTACCTCTTAAAATAGCAACAAGGAAAACCCAGCTGAGCCCAAGCCCCATGGTGAGTGGTCTGTGTTCAGTCCTGATCAGGGAATGAGAACAGCTGAGGATCCCTGGGCTGGGCTCCTGTCCCAGAGCTCCAGGGTCGGGACTGGGCTGGTTTTTGTGACCAGAAGGGGCCCTATTTGCANGCTGGGCTGGGCTCCTGTCCCAGAGCTGCAGGGTCGGGACTGGGCTGGTTTTTGTGACCAGAAGGGGCCCTATTTGCATGTCCTCCTACTATATACAGATCTCAGGAGTGATCCTACAGATAAGTCAGTAACTCAGTGCAGATGANTTCCCAGCTACTTAAGGTGAATCCAGAGGCTGCACAGGAGAGTCTCAGAGACCCCCCAGGCTTCAACACGGCTCCCCCACACTCCACCAGCTGCACCTCACCCTGGACACCTGCAAACACAGAGACGTCCTGGTCAGGAAACTCTCACACGTCTACTGTTTCTCTCACTCATGTCCACTCACACACTCAGTGTCTCTTGTTCTGCATAAATTACCTCTTAAAATAGCAACAAGGAAAACCCAGCTGAGCCCAAGCCCCATGGTGAGTGGTCTGTGTTCAGTCCTGATCAGGGAATGAGAACAGCTGTGGATCCCTGGGCTGGGCTCCTGTCCCAGAGCTCCAGGGTCGGGACTGGGCTGGTTTTTGTGACCAGAAGGGGCCCTATTTGCATATCATCCTACTATATACAGATCTCAGGAGTGATCCTACAGATAAGTCAGTAACTCAGTGCAGATGAGAGGTTCCTAGGGCATTTGGTTGCCCTGGTAGCTTTTCACCCACTAAATACAGAATTATCGGAGGTTTGGGGTCTGTTGATGAGACCACATCTGGTAACAGTGACACAGTGTCAAGGTTCTGATCCTCCCACTGGCTCCCATTGCTTCCCTGAAACTACTCCTGACACAGCTGCACCTGCCCCGTGAGGGTGCCCAACCCCTTGTATGTAACGAGAGCCTCAATAAGCCCCTGTATTCTAGTGTTACCCACACTTCAGGTTTGTATCCAGTTGTGGTCTCAGAGTCCTCACTACAATGGAGAAGGTTCTGCATCACCCGTGAGGTGGTCCTAGGTCAGCTAAGGTNCTGGCTGGTTTTTATGGCCACAAGGGCCTTATTTGCATGTCCTCCTGCTATATAGAGAGCTCAGGGGAGAACCTACAGATAAGTCAGTAACTCAGTGCAGGTGACTAGTTTCTAGGGCATTTCGTTGCCCTGGAAGCTTTTTACCCACTAAATACAGAATTATAGGAGGTTTGGGGTTTGTNGTTGGACTCAAAAGACTATCAAGTGACACAATAAATCTGAGTGATGAGGGGAACCTGAGTGNTAGTTTCTAGGGCATTTCGTTGCCCTGGAAGCTTTTTACCCACTAAATACAGAATTATAGGAGGTTTGGGGTTTGTTGCTGAGACCACATCTGGTAACAGTGACACAGCCTCAAGGCTCTGATCCTCCCACTGGCTCCCATTGCTTCCCTGAAACTACTCCTGACACAGCTGCACCTGCCCCGTGTGGGTGCCCAACCCCTTGTATGTAACGAGAGCCTCAATAAGCCCCTGTATTCTAGTGTTACCCACACTTCAGGTTTGTATCCAGTTGTGGTCTCAGAGTCCTCACGACAATGGAGAAGGTTCTGCATCACCCGTGAGGTGGTCCTAGGTCAGTTAAGGTGAGTCAGGTTCACTGAGATCTGGGAGATAGAACTGAAGTCTCTGTTGGACTCAGAAGACTATCAAGTGACACAATAAATCTGAGTGATGAGGGGAACCTGAGTGACACAGGATGACAGGACCCGTGCTCTTGATACCAATGTGCACCTCCTGTCCCTCAACAATCCCCAAGTTCACTGGCCTTAGAATCCCTCCCCTGGGATCTCATGTCAGGAATCAGACAACATCCTATTGGGGAGTAGTTATAACAGAAACTTGCCACTAGCAACAGCACACCCATGAGTAACAGGGTCCGAGCTGGTCAGGAGTGACCTCTCCCTCTCCCTGGGAGGCGGGGCCTGAATTAGGTGGCTTCCCTTTCAATGGCTGGAGGGGAGCCCATGGTGGGACCATGGTGACAGGTGGGTGTCCTGTCAGATCCCCATCAGCTCAGGTCCTAGAGAGAGGATCTGGGTCAGCCTCTGGGGCCCAACCTCAGGAAGCCCAGATATGAAGGGAGATGGCACTGGAGACACTGCAGCAGCATTGGATGGACCACTGAGTGATGGTCACTGACCTCTGACCTCCTCACCTCTGACCTGGCAGAGCAGCCTTCCTTGCCTGGGGCTGAGGCTCACTCTGAATATTAATGCATTAAATTGGACTTTACAATGTTAATTACTTGAGAGTTTAGTGAGTGTGTTTAATTAGATTTGGCTCTTAGAATATTTAGCATGAAATATACTCAAATAGAAATGATCATAGAAAAGGGCGTGATAGAGACGCATAGGGGAGGCTCCTGAGAGACTTACCGGAGGGAATTAAGTCCAGAGGTTGCACGTGGTCAGTGGGGACAAGGCTGTCGGGAAGCTGTGCAGAGGGAGACAGAGCAGAGGTGGAACCATCTCTGGTGACCTGAGACTTGGTCTCTAATGGGACCTGGAGCCGGACTGACCATGCTCGTCTGAGACAATTTCCCGAGACCCAGGGTCACCCTCTCAGGTGGGAGAACTGGACTCTGCTCATTTGAAACACACCCTCCCTGCTTCCTCCAGCTTCTGAAGTGCCCTCTGAGCCGATGACATTTCCATCTGTTGATGTTTCCATGGAAGTGTTTCCAACACAAAGTCTCCTGTCCGTCCTTCTGTGGCTCCATCCAGAAAATCTGGGCTCACAGATATTCACTGTATCTCTAGGCTGTGGTCACCGTGCACATAGGTGACTTTGGACTGACCAGGTAATCCAAGATGTTCAAGGACTGTGGTCTCCAACAGTCACCCATGGGCTTGTCCATCAGGGTGATGTGCATCTGCTGGGGCCACCCGGACTATGGTGACACAAGTTGTGTTCTCTCCATGAGTCACCCAGCTGCATAATTCATTAGGGTCCCATTTGTGAATCTCTCATTTCTTACAGGGAATAGGGCAAAACCACTACCTGGTGGAGACATGGTGTTTGTGTGTCTGTCAGAGGGGCCAGCATTTGATTGACAAGGGCCGCGTCTCTGTCCATTACGGTCATCACCATCATCACCATCATCATCATCATCATCATCACCATCATCACCATCATCATCACCATCATCACCATCATCATCACCATCATCACCATCATCATCACCATCATCACCACCATCATCACCATCACCACCACCACCATCATCATCATCTTCATCATCATCACCACCATCATCATCATCTTCTTCATCATCATCACCAACATCATCATCATCACCATCATCATCACCATCACCACCATCATCATCTTCATCATCATCATCACCATCATCATCATCATCATCATTACCATCATCATCACCGTCATCATCACCATCATCATCATCATCTTCATCATCATCATCACCATCATCATCACCATTACCATCATCATCATTATCACCATCATGATTATCACCATCATCATCATCATCTTCATCATCATCATCACCATCATCATCTTCATCATCATCACCATCATCATCATCATCTTCTTCATCATCATCATCACCATCATCATCACCATCACCACCATCATCATCATCATCTTCATCATCATCATCACCATCATCATCATCATCACCATTACCATCATCATCACCGTCATCACCATCATCATCATCACCATCATCATCACCATCATCACCATCATCATCACCATCATCATCATCATCATTTGCTTATTTTTTATCATTTTTCTCATTTTTAAGACATATAGTCCTCACATAATGAGCCATTATCTCCATTTCTGCTCCTTTTTTGTAATTGTTCAGTGAAATTTGTAGCCAGATTCTATTTTCGTTTTCGTGTGACTGCTATCAACTGATGGCTCATTCCTGGCTATTCTCCATCTGCCCCCCTCGGAAATCTGATAGGAAACGTGGGGTCCCTCTTTAGATGTCTAGGGGAGATGAACCACACCAGAACTTGGGAGCAGAATTCCTCCCTCCCCACCACCTCTCCAATATCAAAGCCCTGAGCCAGTCTCCCCTCCTGGCTGCACGAGAGCCCCTCTGACTTGCTGAAGGGCCTTTCCTGTGCTTCCCAGAGATATCAACTCTGTACGTGATAAACATCCTGTCTCTTGGTTGTGGGTTTGGCCTCAGTTTGGACAGCTACACAAATCCGACTTGAGTCTGTCTGTCTCTGCCTGTTGTCACCTACTCTTGGTGCTTTGAGCATGACGACAGGCCAATGACTGTCAGCACCAGGGTCTTTCTTCTCTGTCTTTAGGATCACATGTCCCAGGTGCCCTCTGTCCAGTGCCCATGTGTCCTGCTGCTGCCTGGCTGGGACCCTGAGATGTGCGATGCTGAGCTGCACTGTGGAGTCAGCAGAGCCTCCTGTTAGATTTAGATGAGTGTTGGACAGATTATTTGATGATTAGTAGTCATTTGAATCCAAGAGTGTGTGAAAGAGACTCACTGCCTGTTGTCCATGTGAGAAACTTGTCTCTGTTTACAGCAGACTTTTGTAACTGAGAGACCTCAGAGGAAAGCGCAGAATCAGGAATCCACAGGGGTCCCTGAGGGAAACTGTGACCTGAAGAGAAAACCAGCAAGGAAACAGCCCAAACCACCCACTGCACCTGCTCCTGGGAGGGTCCTTGTGTTCAGAAACCCTGAGCTCCCTGGTGGCCACAGCCCCTCCTGCAGGGAGGTTTGTGTGTGGCTCACGCTGACCTCCCCTCACTGTGTTGCACAGAAATACACCGCCGAGTCCTCAGATTTTAGGCTGTTCATTTGCAGATACAGGGTGTTCTTGGCGTTGTCTCTGGAGATGGTGAATCGGCCCTTCACAGAGGCTGCATAGTATGTGCTACCTCCATCAGTATTAATGCCTGAGACCCACTCCAGTCCCTTCCCTGGAGGCTGGCGGACCCAGCTCATCCAGGTGCTACTGAAGGTGAATCCAGAGGCTGCACAGGACAGTCTCAGAGACCCCCCAGGCTTCACCACGGCTCCCCCAGACTCCACCAGCTGCACCTCACCCTGGACACCTGCAAACACAAAAATGTCCTGGTCAGGAAACTCTCACACATCCACTGTTTCTCTCACTCATGTCCACTCACACACTCGGTGTCTCTTGTTGTCCATAAATTACCTCTTAAAATAGCAACAAGGAAAACCCAGCTGAGCCCAAGCCCCATGGTGAGTGGTCTGTGTTCTGTACTGATCAGGGAATGAGAACAGCTGGGGATCCCAGGGCTGGGCTCCTGTCCCAGAGCTGCAGGCCCGGGGCTGGGCTGGTTTTTATGACCAGAGAGGGCCTTATTTGCATGGCTTCCTACTATATAGGGACCCCAGGGTTTAACCTACAGAGAAGGCAGTGTCTTCGTGCGGGTGAGAGTGTCCTCTGGCCTTGGGATGGCCATGAAAGATTTAATTATCTAAATACAGAATTATAAGGTTTCATCCAACCCAACAGACAGTACCTGGTACCAGTGAGCCCAGGATCTGGCCTGTGCTCCTCCACACTGGCCACGACTGCTCCCATAGGCCAATTCCAAGGCAGAACGGGACCTGCCCAGTGAGGGTGCAATACCCCTGTATTTAACAAGAGCATGAATGAAAGTCTGTATTCTGGCGCCATCCAGACTTCAGGGCTGGTGACAAGCCCCTTCCTGGGATAGAGACCTGAAGCTGCAAGTCTTGTAAATTGGACTCCGTGTACGTGGTGTGTTGGTGCCCTTGGCCTTGAGTATCTCTAGCTCCCTGACCTTCAAGGAGACAAACAAGACTGAGTGTTGAGAAGATGCTTTTCTATCCTGAGGATCCAGAGACACTAGGAAATTAGAGAGATTCATGGAGCTGATGGGGTCCTCTGGGTTTCCAACAACTAGAAGGACATTTACAGGGGGCCTCTCTGCAGACACTAATGAAAAATATTAAAGTCATGAAATAAATAATTAGTGAAATAAATATAAGCCAGGGCACCTATGACCAGTGTGATTGTGTGAATTTAACATGAGTTACTCATGTATGAGATGGAGACCTTTGCAGTTAAAATTCACCAATGCCATGGTGATTGGAGTGAAACTGATCCCATGGTCTGTATTTTGGCAAGTTCAGTTATTACCATTTAGATTGTTTATTGTAAAAAGGGGACAGCTCTACATTTCCAAAGCATTTGGATAACTGTTTTGTAGCATCTGCATGCAAGAAAAGCGTATTAAAGTATATTTTCAGAGTATGGACACAGACATGACAGTAACCCCCTTTCTCGTGTGGGACATGAGCTCCGTGGATCCTGAGCACTCAGGGGTCCTGAGAGCATGTTTTCATCCAAGGCCCACAGAGGTTTAGAGACCCCTCCTTATCCAGGTGCCTGTTGAGTCCATTCCAGCAGGAGCACTATGGACCCTGCTGTTCACAGGACTTCCCCTCTGAGTTATTTCCATCCACTGGCCCCTCCCGCTGCTCCTTGGCCATCAATCTGCAGGGTTCTCTGGTGCATCCCAGGTGAGCCCTGTGTCTCTCCTGTGGCTACGACCCTATTACAAGAGCCTGGGACAGAATCTCCTTTCCAATTTAGCGACTGTCAGAAGAGATTTGCTGTAGTAACAGAGAGAACACAGTGAACCGGGCTTCAGACTCAATAATCCACAGGCAGCAAACAGGCTGTGGAACGTGCTCTGCTCCAAGCCCTGCACCTTCAGGAGGGGGTATCTGAGAGCAGAGCCCAAGCCCCGGGGTTGGGTCCTGAGCCTCAGGAGGCTGTTTCCAGGCCTGTGTGGAGTGGAGGTCGCTCAGGGAGATGTCTTGGCCTTGAACTGAGGCCCCTGCATGGTTCTGTGGTTATTTTCTTCTCACTGCCCACATGTGGTCAGTATTGTGCTCTGAGACCTAGAATCCTTTTCTTTGCCTGGTCGGGCGATAGCCTCTGGTCTCCCTGCATGTTTTCTGGGTGTTAAGGGGCAGAAGTAGTCAGGCCCTATCTCTTGATGGGTGATGCTGACATGTCAGGGTTCATCCCTCTTGCTTCCCCTGCACATGTGTGAAATGTGAAGAGAAAGTGGAGAGACCCCTTGTGTCCTGCAGGTGGGACCTTGAAACCACACAAGACCCTCCTGTGAGCAGGACCCTCACTGTTCCCAATCCTGACCCACCGTGAAAACCTAAACCAGTGTCCTCCCCTGGCCGATCCAACCATTTCCGACCTGCTGAGCAGCCTGTACTCTCTCAGCAGCACCCCCATGAACTGACAAACCTTTGACTCCTCCCTCTGTGTGTGTGACGTCATCAGCCTAGACAATCACTCCCCAGGAGGGTGGGTCCCTCTGCCTCTGCCTGGTGTCACCTACTCTTGGTGGTGTGAGCCTGAGGTCAAGTCAACGACCGTCACCTTCACGCTCTTTCTTCTCTAGCTTTGGGGTCACATGCTTCTGGTGCCTGCTGTCCAGCCCCCACGTGTCCAGCTGCTGGCTGAGACCCTGAGGTGTGCAGAGCTGAGCTGCACTGTGGAGTCAGCAGAGCCCCCTGTTGGATTTAGGTGACGGTGGTCAGAAGGTTTGATGACTGTCATTTGAGTCCAAGAGTGTCTGAAAGAGACTCTGCCTGTTGTCCACGTGAGAAAGTAGTCTTTGTTTAAAACAGACTTTTCTAACTAAGAGACCTCAGAGGAAAGTGAAGAATCAGGAATATACAGAGGTTCCTGAGGGAAACTGTGACCTGTAGAGGAAACCAGCCAGGAAACAGCCAAAACCTCCCACTGCACCTGCGGCTGGAGGGTCCTTGTGTTCGGGGACCCTGAGCACCCTGGTGGCTTCAGCCTCTCCAGCAGGGAGGTTTGTGTGTGGCTCACACTGACCTCCCCTCACTGTGTCCCTTGCACAGAAATACACAGCCGAGTCCTCAGATTTCAGGCTGTTCAGTGTTAAATAAACTTGGCTCCTGGAGTTGTCCTTGGTGATGCCGAGTCTGGATTTTAGGGTCGGGTTATAGTTTGTGTTTCCACTGCCCAAAATTTCTCCAACCCACTCCAGGCCCTTTCCTGGAGCCTGGCGGGCCCAGTGCACACTATTGGTCATTAAAGAGAATCCAGAGACTGTGCAGGTGAGGGAGAGGGTCTGCGAGGGCTTCAGCAGTCCTGGGCCCGACTCCTGCAGCTGCACCTGGGACAGGACACCTGGGGACAAAGAGCACAAGTCCCTGTCAGTCACGTGCAGTCACAACCCCCCCAAAGATGCTGCCTGACATCTGAGACCCTCACCTTGGGGGCTGTCACCAGGCACAGGAGGAGACCCAGTAGGCTCATCTTCTTCTAGACCAAGGCCCTGCTTTCCCCAGAGACCTCAGCCCTGTGTGAGGAGAGAGCTGTGAGCCCCACAGCCCAGGAGGGATTTACCCTGGAGCCTGAAGGGACATTTGCATGTGGGGCAGCCTCTTCCTTATAAGTGGNCGTGGGGCAGTCTTTTCCTTATAAGTGGAGGGACTGAGGTCAGGCTGCCCTGGTCATTCTGGGACCCTTGGGGGCATCTCTCCCCTTGACCTCATTGAGCACCTAAGTGAGGGTTAGGGGGTTACCTAGTACGGGAGGCACATTGGAATTAGGTCAAAGGATGGACTGACCTCTCTGAACATTAGAAGAAATGATGGAGTAGATGAGCAGGTTGCTCCTAAAGTTCCAGAAACCCCACTTGCTAACGAACACACAACTGTGAAATGTGTGCTATAAAATTACCTATATTTTTATAAACATAACTTATATATACAAACGATGTCTACCTTGATATGAAAATCAAAAAATAAAGGACAGTTGTTTTTTAGGACCTTTTAAATTAATTTATGATGTTATTTGATTTCAGGAACTACATCTCAACAAGAGGGCTGTAGGAGNATCAAAAAATAAAGGACAGTTGTTTTTTAGGACCTTTTAAGTTAATTCATGATGTTATTTGATTTCAGGAACTAAATCCCAACAAGAGGACTGTAGGAGACCCTTTATTCTTTCTTTAATAATAATTTTAAAGAGAGAGGAAGGTAGAGACTGAAACATTGATGTCAGAGAGAAACATCAATCTGTTGTCCCTGGCATGTGCCCCAGCTGGGGCCAATCTTGTCATCTGGGCATGTGGCCTGACTAGGAGTTGAAACCATTACCCTTGGTGCACAGGGTGAAGCCCCAACCATCTGAGCCAAGTGATGTTGGAAATTCTGTATTTGTGTCCACAGCCTCCTGCTCACATTCTTCCTTTATACAAGCCCTGGACCTACTCCAGAGACCCCACTAGTTACATCAGAAATTGTCAAAGTTTTAAATGGAGAAGAGACAGGAAATGAAAACAGTGACTCTGAATGTGTACAACTATATGTTACATCCCTGTGTTAAATGATTATGGAAGGAGAGGGTCGTCTTTTCTCAGTCTAGTGTTGTCAGTTTTGTTGGGGTTCAGAGGGAGGTTACTGATGATGGTTCCCAGCTTAGATTTTCTAACAGGAAAGGGAACTTCAACCCTGACTGGAAACCCTCCTTCCCAGCCTCCCACTGTCATTTCCCTGAGGACGGTCACTGTGCTCAGAGGTGCTGGGCTCTCCCCAGAACATTCACTTCCTTAATGTAATGAACACATTCTCCCATCCGACACATAATATGGAAATGCACTCTCTGCGCAGGCTTGTCACTTAATGTCCTTGAAGGAACATTCGTGACACAAATGTTTTTACTTTTATTCAAGTTCAATTCATCACTATTTTCTTTCATGGGTCATATTTTGGGTGTTTTTACAGCAACCACCTAAGACAGTGCTGAGCCCCCACTGTCCAGGCTGATTTTCTGCAGGAGCCACAGGGACTGGCGCAGGTTCTGGCACCAGAGTGGAGGCTGCTGGGAAACTCCCCATAGATCTGGACATGACTTTGAAGCTGGGTGAGGGGAGGATGCTGGACTTGTTTTCATCACACGACAGAAATATGCCCGATTCTCATGGACAGAGTGTTACTGGACATATGGGTTTAGAGTCTCTTCCAGTGAAGACCCAGAAGGAAGCCCAGGGCAGGATGGAGACAGCTTATATCATCCCAGGAAATCCTTGAGTAACTGTGAACAGGAGCTGCTTAGAATAGAGACGTTACCGATGCTGCAGGCAGGGATCCAGAGACATAAGGAACCTGTCATTGCAAACTGGTGGGAAGGGGATCCCCTGTGACC